GCTGGGCCAAGTCATTCTTAATTCACCTTTATTGTGATTTTTATAAACTCTCAAAAAAACTTTATCTAAAATGAAAATGAAAATTACAGTGAGATACTATGTCCCTATTAAAATATCTGGGATTAAAGAGATCGACTATATACTAAGTGTTAGTGAGGGCGTGGAACACTGAATCTCATACTTGAACATTGTGGGCAGGGGTATAAAATGATACAATCACTACAACCACTCTGGAATACAGATCGACAGTTTCTTGAAAAATCGGACAGATGTCTACTATGTGATCTCATTTATTCCTACGTATTTACCAAAGAAAAATGAAAGCATGTGTCCATTGAAAATGTTGTTTAACAAATGTTTATAGCAGCTGTATTTATAATAGCATAAAGCTAGCAACAACTCAAATATTTATCAACAAATGAAAGGAAAAACAAATAGTTTTATATCTGTATAATGGAATACTATTCTACAACGAAAATGAAAGCATTACAGAATATGGAACAGCATGGATGAATCTCAAAATAAAGATTTGAGTGAGAGAAATTAAACAGAAAGTAAACACTATATTATGTCATTTACATATGATTTTAGAAAACCCAAGTTTATCTGTGCTGACAAAAAGTAGACTCATGGTTGCCTCGGCATAAGGGATGAGGGACAGAGAAACTGAAAAGTGACACAAGCAAACTTCTGAGGATACTTGATAATATTATGGATTGAGTACATTCCCTTGAAGTACTGGCCCCTATACCTTTGGATGTGACCAAATCGGTTTCTTTCTCATGTTCATTAGGCCATATCCAATGAGGAGGCATGTCCCCTAAGCCTAATCACTTTTGAGTTAAAGAAAAACAACCAAAATGGACCCAAGTAGCAGCACACATACAGACAAAAGCAGCGTATGAAGACAGACGCAGATAGAGGTGCATCTCCAAGCTTAGAAAGACCAAGGATTGCTGGCAGCTCCTAGAAGCTGGTTCAGCAAAAAAATGAGGAAGACTCTCAACCAGATGGATTGATCCAGGGCTTGCAACAGTGAACTCAAACAGAATAACTTGTGAGTATTACTCAGGACCAGGCAGGGTTGTGTTCTGTTGCACACAGGATCACTGTGAGTCAGAACAAACTCTGTGGTGCCTAACAACATTGGAACACTTAGAAGCTGAAACAGACAAGGGCCCAGCTGCCACTAAGCTGTGCCCTGAATTTGAACTCTAATCTCATGAACTGTGAGAAAAGTTCTTCAAAGTAGTGTCTCTGTTATGGCAGTACTAGGTAGCTAAGATAAATACATTATACTGATAGTGGTGATAGTTATATGAGGGGGTTTCTAAAATTTCATGGAAGAAATTCCATTATCTTTTAATTAAATTTTCCCCCCAAAATTTCAAAAGCCTTCATATATATGTGTACGCACATATGCATGTGGGTATATATATGGTATATGTAAAATCAGTTGTGTACATATGCCAAAACTAATCAAATTGAACACTTTTAATGTGAAATGCATTGTATGTTAATTATACTTTAATAAAATGGTTGAAAAATATATATATATATTTATGAGACATTGTAGCTACTATATCAGCAAATCATCAAACACTGTTTACCTTGTATCCTATGTAATGTGATATCTTAAAAACAAATTCTGTAATAACTTCATGAGTACAAAAATAAAATCAGGAGCCTACCACCTCAGTAGGGTTTGAGGGATTCAATAGTCTAGATTCTAGAACATGTCAAGAAATCTCCTCCAAAGTGAAAGACAGAGTGGGGGACTTCACACTACCTACCATAAACAAAGAGACAAA